CCAGCACGACCTGGGTGCGTGGGGTTGCCCCGCGGGGATCAGGGGAAAGGGTTCTCCGAACCCAGCGTCCGCATCTCACGCTCCTCCCCGCCTGGGTTAGCCCTGGTGCGACTGCAGGAGAGCGCGGACGGCTGCTGCGCGCACTCGTCGCCTTTTGTTCAGCCGGTGTGCCTGCCGAGTAGCGCCGCCCGCTCCGCCGAACCCGAAGCCGCACTCTGCGAGGTGGCCGGCTGGGGCCACCAGTTCGAGGGTAGGCAGAACGCCTTGGGGGCGGGAGGGAGGCTTCTGTCTACCGGGGTAGGCAAGAGAAGCCCGCAGGTTTAGTACTACGAAGGGCTGACTTAGTGGGCTGTGAGGACATGCAAGGCTCTTGTCTCTGCAGTCCGCTTCTCCCAGGGCTTGGGATTCACTGTCCAGGGAGGTCCCCAAATCTCCTGAGGGGCCCTGGGAGAATCATACTTTCTCACGATTTCCTCTGGGCACTGGGCTGCAAGGGCCAGCTAGGCCATCCAGCTTCCCGCTGGATCAGCGGGTGGGCTGGCTCGGGAGCGAGGTTTTGAGACACTGGACGGGAAGTGGGAGTGGGGTTCCAGAGCAGTCCTGCTTCCTCCTGGCCCATTCACATCCCGGCTCCTCTCCGGCTCAGCTTCCTTCTCTATGAAGTGGTGTTAAGGGCAACTCCCCCTTTCTTGGGCTCGCTGCGAGGGAGTCAGGAGATGAGCGGGTTTGGAAGAGCCTGGCACAGCCAGGTCCGTGACCTGGGCAGCAAGCGGAGTCGGGAGGGGTGTGAGTGAAGAAAGCGCTCCCTGTTCGCAGGGGCAGAGGAGTATGCCAGCTTCCTACAGGAGGCTCAGGTTCCGCTCATCAGTCCGGAGCGCTGCTCCGCCCCCGACGTGCACGGAGACGCCTTCACTCCTGGCATGCTCTGCGCTGGCTTCCTCGAGGGAGGCACCGACGCGTGCCAGGTGAGCACTTAGGCCCGCTTGGCGCCCTCCCCCAAGCCGGTCAAGTGCAGACCCCAGGCCAAGGGCGCTGAGCTGCGTGTCCTCTACCCAGGGTGACTCCGGGGGCCCGCTGGTGTGTGAGGACCAGACGGCAGAGCATCAGCTCATCCTGCGAGGCATCGTCAGCTGGGGCTCAGGCTGTGGCGACCGCCAGAAGCCGGGTGTGTACACCGACGTGGCCAACTACCTGGCCTGGATTCAGGAGCACACTGCTTCCTGACCGACCAGGGACTCGTCTTTCCTTCCTGCGCAATTCTAGAATGGAAGGGTGGCTGGGGCAAGATCACAGACAGCAAGGATTGTGTTCCATTCCCCCCAAGGCTGCCAGCCCAGCGCCAGGCATGGCATTGGCACTCAATAAAGTGCTTTTGAAAATGCTTCAAAGGCACAGCTCTTCAGGGAGCCTACTGAAAAAATGTCACTACAGTAAGCCGGTGCACAACTTCTCCACGCCCCTTCCGAGAAAGGAATCTGCTGCGACCTTATACAAGATTTAGATTCACGTCCAGCTGACACTTACTGAGCCGTAAACACTGTGCTCCAAGCTCTGTGCAAGGTGATTCCACATATTATTCCTCGTATAAAACGAATACTGTAAGTTTATAGAGCAGGAGTTCTCAGAATCACCTTGGGGGGCTTTTTGAACCTATGCCCAATATCCACCTCAGGTCAGTTAAATCAGCATCTCTAGGGATGGGAGCGTGGTAGCTGCATGTTTTTAAAACTTCCCAGGTGACTCCGTCTGCAGCGGAGGTTCAGAACCATGGTTAGAAGTACTTAACATTGAAACAGTGGTGTGGACCCTTAAGGCTGATCTTCACTCCTGTCCCAGCTGGGACTAGGGCAGTGGGTCTCAAAGTGTTTCCTGGACCAGCAGCAGGGTCCTCAGGGAACCTGTGAGAAATGCATATTCTCTGGTCACATTCCATACTGCAGAATGAGACCCTCTGAGTTGGGGCCCAGCAATCTGTTTGACAGCTTTCTAGGAGATTTTGGGAAGTGTTTGAGAACCATGCTCTGGGGGTTGAATGGCTACCAAGCCAAGAGGTCCGGCTGTCCAGACCTGGTGTCTTTCTGTTCTTAAACCCACTTGCTCGGTACTTGATGGACATATAAGTTGGGTTTTTTTGTTTTTTTGTTTTTGTTTTTTGAGGTTTATTTTGACTTCTGATTCCCGCCTTCAGAGTAACTTTAGAACTTCATCAGGCGTAAGATACGAACGCCGCCCCCGCCGCCCCGCCCCGCCCCGCCCCATTCTCTAGCGTAAGTAGCGCTTCGGTGACGTCGCGGTACCTCAACGTCACAGCCCCGCCCCTGAACACGTCACAGTGCCCCGGGCGTTCCGGGCGTGCGGCGCACCCAGACGACCCTCCAAGTGCAAGGCGAGGGGTGCACTCTGAGCCAGAATGGGCGACTGGAAAGTCTACATCAGCGCGGTGCTGCGGGACCAGCGCATCGACGACGTGGCTATCGTGGGCCACTCGGACAATCGCTGCGTGTGGGCATCGCGGCCCGGGGGCCTGCTGGCGGCCATCTCACCGCAGGAGGTGGGTTGCTCACGGGGCCGGATCGGCGCA